TCTCTTTGTTGTTATTTTTTTCCTATTACATATCGATTCTCGACATAACGTACTACATAAAAAGCACGTGCTATTCTTTTTTGAAACCATAGGCTAACCGATTAAAACAAAATGCTTATAAGTTGCCTTTTCACGTTGACGAGCGACGCCCATTTTTAGCGACAAAACAGATCACGTAATAAAAAAAATTGATGAATATTAAGAGTCAATTTTGATCACGTAATTTGTTTTAACGTTAAAAAGCGTCGAATGTTAGTATCATCGGTATGAAAAGACAACTTATTGCTTAAGATAGTTCACTTTTTTTTATTGGTCAATAGTAAAATTCTTTCTTTCGATTGATCAATTAATTGAAGAATTTACAGCGTCTCTTAAGTGCGTCGCAACTTTAAGCTCGCAATGCATGATGCGATTTTTGCATACAGAATCAATGTAAGACGTTAGACTAGTCACTAGCAGCCTTGTTGAAAACATGTACGCTGCTAAAAGTATAGCATACTGCATACTTTTTGCATACCTTGTGTGCTAACATGTTGATTTTCAATGATAGATTCAGTACTATCAAGAGACATAATAGAATGCTAAGAATTATCATGAGACATAGTAGAACGCTCGATGCGAAGAGCATTTTTCTTACGAGATTTACCGCTAGACAGATAAAGAATTAGATTAGAAGAAAAACACAAATTTTACATTATCATCAAGTTAAAGGTTAAGTCTAAACTACAAGTTAACCAGATGATGAAAAACCGGGCCTAATACGAATATATAGGTTCGCTCGTTATATTGCCAGTGAATCAAGGGCTTAGGCCTTAACAGCCGTTATGCAACTGCTGTTTCGTTTAGCCAATAAATGAGCGCGAGAGCACGGTTTAACAAAGGGGACCTGAGACCTGTAATTATCGGTATATATCGTTAGCAAATTAATCGTATCGGTTTAGAAGAAATACACCCGTAATTGCGTCTTCGACCTTTCGAGCGGAATAAACGGCGCGATTATTAGAGATAATAACAGGCTGGAAATCAAACCAAATTTCCGCCAAGATAAAATGAACCCCGAAAAATAATCCGATGTTATGCAAACGTGAGTTAACTCGTGAGAGCGCTTGACTCGAGTGAATTACATTTGAAATGCAAAAATCCATCTCGACGATCCTGCTGTGCGTATTATTTCTTCTTTTTTTAAATTTCATCTACTTTAACGTACGATTAGCTTACTCAGTCAGACTAACAATCTTGGGCGGAAAAAGCACGATGCATTGTATATAGATATATTATGAAGTATCTAATTTTGTGCATGTGCTCGCTCGCGCGCACATACTTATTCAAGATTTTACTTTGGTGATGAAAATTTGACACTGTTAAATATTAAAAGATTAAATTTAAACCAATTCCTTAAAGTTAAATTTCTTAAAAATGTTAAGCCATATAAAAACTGAACAAAACCATCGAATTAATCACAGTCGAATGTGAGGAGACTAATCGACTATGATTGGTCCATTTTTTACGGTTAAGACTTAGGTCAGTATTCATAGTCGGATCTTATATTCAAGATTGTCTTGAGATGTTATGAACCAATCGGCAGAGTTGGCATTATTTTACCCATCCCCAAAAAATCTAGGGGGTTTTTTTTTGGGTTTTATTGGGATTTTGTATAAGAAAAATAAATTTTTTAATCGGTAACACATAAAAGAAATGTATTTATAAATATTTAATGAATATAGGTATATTAAACTAACTGGACTGATACAATGTTAACATATTATATCAGTTGTTTTCATTATACAGAAATGTTTTTTTTTATATTTGAAAAATTTATCACTATTTTATCAATATTTTTATAAAATGTATTTATAATTAATTTTATTAGAATATGTAATTAAATAATGATAGATACAATGTAAACTAAATATTACGTGAAAGAAATATTAATCAATTTTATTTAAAAAAAAACCCCAATAAATCCAATAAAACCCCCATAAAACCCAGTGGGTTTTCCCGACTCTGTTAAAATCTCATTGTGAACGCCGCTTTAGATTTCAGGACAGGTTTCAAGACAATAACAAACAGCCAATAGACGTGTTGGACCATAGCCTTCTAATAAAAAGCTTCATGGTATATATCGAATACTGCCATTCAAAGGAAATACTATTCATTGCCTTGTGAAAGACATATTCAAGTTTCTGATCTGGATCCAACCTTCGCATGTCTCTCTGTACTACGATTTCGTATCTAATCAGATAAATAAAATATATCTCAACTGAGGTAATATTTTTCGCAACAAGAGTTCTTCAAATCGACGATCAAATTTGTAAGATTATTATTATTTCAGTTTGACTGTGTGTTGCAAGTTTTTTATACAAGTTTAACCAATATAGATCCAATTGCATACTAAATGCGAGCGGAATCGATTATGCAAGAAGAACTCAAAGAAAAAATATCAATATATACGTATACGTATGTCTTCTTAATAATGCGAAGCATGAATTTCCATGTTGGGTACGTAATATTATGCGCAAACTTCAAAAATCAGAAAACGATCAAACGATTGAGAGATCGAGTTATATTAAAAAATATATATATAAAGCAAGGGACTTTTCCCACCAGAAAATTCAGATCCAAGATTTTCTCGTATTATTGAAACACCTCAAGAGAACCTGTCCCAAGAGAACTCAAGAATGAGACACGGAATTATCTACGAGCAATGTCAACAAAACCGATATGTAGTGCATGATATGGTGTAACTACAATAATACAACGATGTTATTGATGGGATGTTTCTCTTCCCAGCCTTCGCCGTGAACTTATTTAAGGATCAATTCAAAGTTAATTTTTCCTTTAAGAAAACTGTCGAAGTAGAAATAGCTTCTGAATTAGCGATTAAAAATAAGCAATTCCTCAGAAACTAACCTTCAGAAAATGAAAATGCACTAAAGCTATCAGCTCTAACTCTTTTTATTTAATTTCAATGAGACTTCATTTAAATAAAGTTTTAATTCAAAGTTTGATTAATAAGATACTAAATGGCATAAATTAAAACAGTGAAAAGAATATCTCATTAATTTGCTGTGTACAGAGAAATAGATAAGTAGTTCAATTTAAACCCCATATTATTTAGACAAAAATGACAAAATAAGAAAATCTTGTATAATTAACGCGTAATATTTATTTATTCTTAATATTTATTAATTTCGTAATACAAGAGAACCTTCGACAATTTAAAAAATGAAATTCCTGAATATATAACGAATGTCTTATAAATATATTAACAATAAAATTTCATCCTTACATGGTTGTGATCTATCTTCAGAAGATATTTCATTCAAAATGTAATTATATACGTTGAAAAATTAAGCAAAAAATTAATGAGATAACAAAAATATCCTTAAATATTAAAATCCTAACCTAAAAAAATGTTTAATTGCCAAGTTATATAACCAAGATAAAAGCTTGCGATAGACTTAAAATAAATGTTTGTCAAAAATATGTAAATTAACGAATAATGTCTTCAAGATTACTGCCATAATTTTTATGAAATAAAGAGCATGAAATATGTAAAACTTCAAACTCAATATATTACAAATTTTGTGTGCGCGCGTGTACAGGATTATCCCGAATGTTTCAACCAGATTTAGGATGCATAATTATGTAGGATATATAAGCGTTGATGACAATACTGCAAAAATGTTAATATTCTAGCAATCAGTTCAAGCATTCTACATAATTATTTTAATAATTCGAACAAAATTATTTTCAGATTTGTATCTAGCTAACTGTATCTAGCTGTTTTCCGTGTATGGATTTGATTGTAAACGAAGATTCACTGTATAGAGTAAGATGTTTCGTATAAAGATATTTCGAATAAATCAAATAAAATATTTTGTGACGTAAAAAAAAAAGATTGGCTAACAGAGAGTGTCGAGTGAAGCTCATTAAGAACGAGTTTTTTAATGTTATACGAAATTCTCATTAAGCTAATGACGATGTAATATCACTTTCAAAAATACCATCGTTCTTTCTTTTAGATCGATATATGTCATCTATAAAACAAGGCGACCTTTATAAGAGATTTTGCTCGTTCCACAAATCTCTCAATAATCTTAAGTGCTTTCCCAAATATTTTATCATGCTTGCGTGGATACGTTCTCGCGATTCGAAAACAACGCCGATCAACATTTAATATCTGCTGATCGATTTTCCAAGGAAAAATGATGACAAAAGAGGAGATTCTCTCCGATCGTCTTCTATGAGTTACGTAATATCATCTATCTATCTGAATTACATAAAATGATCTTATATCTTTCCGACGCGTACGAGGAGATAAAATTCGTACACGTGGGACACATTACAAAGAACTATGAAAATAATATCGTCAATCTAAAAAATTTTATTACGCATCTCCAAGTAAGAGAGACTTCACAAGTGTCCTTTGACGATCATAAAAATGGCCATTTTGTTTTGACATCGAACAGTTAACTTTAATTTTATGAACTGAGGGAACGATAAAAGTATATATAATTTCGCGAATGAAACGTGAATGTTATTAAATAACCTTTCGAGCCAGCGATTTAACTTCCGAATTTAAATCTCTTTCCACGCGTTATTAAAGTAAAGCAAAATTTCTATCATTACAATTTTTTTACATTTGCAATCGCTTTAAAAAAAATTATCTTTCTATCTTATTGAAGGAATGATAAATAATAAGATATACGAAAAATAATTTCTTATATATTATTCCACTAATCATCACTAATATCACTATCGTAAAATTCTACAGTACTTACATAACATCTATCTTGTTTTGAGTATTTGTTTAAGTAATCTATGTAAGTAACCTATGTAAGTTTATGACTTCAGATCTCCTAATCTTGTCATTCAAACTGATATGGCGTCATACTTCCAAGGAAGAAAAGACGATACTAACAAAATATCGACGGTATGCCAATGACACAGTTATCAGTGATATTTGTAAGGAAGGCGAGAGAAATCTGTCTTCTTACCTGATCGACGGTTTTCTGAAGGATCTGGCATTTGTCAGTCTTGCCAGAGCTCATGTCCGTGGCGGAAATCAGCTCGGCAAGCTCATCGATATACAAGTTCTCTTGGGTCCGTCGTCTTTTTTCGTTAAGGCACTTGTTACTGTAAACAATCGAAACGCAGAATTAAAGCGCTATTTTAGAAGGAGTGCGCTTATATTCAGCTCTAAAAGACGAATGCAAAATGACAAAACTACTGAAATTATGGCAATTATTGAAATTATGTATGTCGTAAGTAATTAAGTTAATAGATTATTTAAATACAATATATATTACACTTCATTAAATACTAATTAGTTATTTAAATATTGT